TATATATATTTATCAAAGGACTGACTGTAGAAAATTAATATAGACGTGTTTAAATCGAAAAGGATTTCAAGAAAATTAGTGATATTTACTCGGGTAACGTCTAACTTAAAGTTTGACATTTCTGATTGACAATTGACCGTCTTACCATTTGTTTACTTCTTCATTTACTCTTTGACATTGGGTGTATGAGGTCTCGCGTACGATATAAACGTGCCTGTTTCTATATATAATATATTTTTCGGTGTAACGTATTTTTATGTACGTACCTGAAAATCATTGCGATTTTGTTTGTTTGTTTGTTTGTTTTTTTTTTTTAAAAAAAGGTGTTTTTTTATTTTTAAATATAATATCACTGGAACGTTTGTTTTTTTTTTTTTTCGTTTAAAATGTTTTTACGGTTAGAAAAACTATAGAAAACCGGTTTTAAAAAAAATTTTAAAAATAAACGAAATGAAATAATAAATAATATTTTTGGTTTTTGTTTTATCTGTAATAATAATGGCATTAGAAGATAGATGCAGTCCTTCGAGCGCGTCAACTCCAGGTCCAAAAGCTTCGAGCGATCGTCCTGGATCCGACGGAAATGCGGTTCGGGTAACGTCTCCTCCTACTCCATCATCGGTAAAGGATAATGATAATCGTCAAACGAAATTTGACGAGGGTTACGAATTAAAGAGAAAAATTAAAATGGAACCCGATGTCGAAGTAGATAATTACGAAGAAAAAAAAATTAGAATTTGGAGAAAAATATCGGATGAGGAACATGATGATTCGAAATCATCAAATTCCGATTTGGAAAAACGTCTTTCTCCAGGAGGTTATGTTAAAACGACGTCTTTTTCTCCGGAAATAATTCAAAGGTTTTCATCGTATTCGATCGAAAGGTTCGTCAATTCGGATATCGGTCGTTGTGGCGGTGGTGAAAACAGTTCGGGAAATGGAATTATACAATCTAACGGACAATATCCGATGGATGTTAATAATGGTAATTATTTAAATGTTCCTCTTTTCATGTCGAAAACGCATAAAAATGTAACAATGTTGAATTCGTCGCATCAAAAAGTTAGCAGGACACCAGAAAACGGTAGGCTATCATCGTCAGATAAAAAATCACAAAAGCGAACCGATTCGATCGATGAGGAACCTACGGAAACGAATAATAATAACGGGAGTAATACAAATAACAACAGCAATAATAATAATAATAACAATAATAATAGCAATAACAACAACAATAACGAAACAAGAATAAAATTTTCGGTTGAAGATATATTAAAACCGGATTTCGGTTCAAAATACATTCAGAAAAATTGTGAAATATGGAATCCGTTAAAGCGAACGGTAACACCGATCATAAGAACAAGTGACGAACTAAGAAAACCTAATAGAACTGTACAAAATAGAACAAATCGAAGTTTCGATATAGCAAGATTAACGGAAACAGATTCGGTAAAAAATTCATCTCAGGAAGAATACGGTAAAAGAAGGCATAGCGATGCGGTACCCATAGAGCCACCAAAATTACAAGAAAGACGAAAAACGACAGAATCGGATGTCCCGAGATTGTTACCGGAAGTAACGAAAGAAAGTCCAACGAGGATACCATTACCATCACCGGCAGCTAGTTCATCGTCAGAAGGAGATCAAAGCATAGGTGGTAAAGGTACCGAATTATGGCCAGCATGGGTTTATTGTACCAGATACTCGGATCGTCCATCTTCAGGTACGTTACCTGTCTTTATTATTATTATTTATTACTTTTTTTTTTCTCTTTACTTTCTAAATAATTTTTTTTTTCCCGTCATTTTCGAAACGTTAAACCATAATAATAATATTTACATGTTAAAAAAAAAAGAATTTTAAAAACTTATACGAACGGTCAAAGGAAATTTTTACAAAAAGGAAAGCCTAATGACTTTTTAATTCAAAATGGTCGAACGAATTACAAAAAGAAAATTAAATTAAATTTTTCGCGGACTTCCCATTACTTTTTTTTTACTTCAAATCTCCAAATTTGAAATTTTTTTTATTTTAAATTCAAAATTAAATGTCTGCCCTTTTAAAATGACGTTACCCATTTTTTTTTTTAATTTAATAACGTCACATTTAAATAAATTATATTACGATTTTGAAATTATTGCTTTACTCTTCTTACATTAAAAAAAAATTAAAAATTAATATCAACGGAAAAACGAGTGATAATAATAATAAATAACACGGAAAAA